ATGGAAAGGCATTTGAGGAGACGTCGTAGGTTTGGTGGTAGTTGGATTTGGTTTCGTATTTTTAATTTAATTTTTACTGAAGCGTTTCATGTGCGTAGCATAAAAAGCCGAACACAGCTGACCCTTGAATAGTCCGGTCAGAGGCAGCAACCCCTGTGTACTCAGAAATGTGCATTTAACTGTCGACTCCTCCAGAGCTCCACTACGAACATCTTCCCGTGGACCAGAAGTCTTACTAGCAACATAAACCGTCGATTAACACATCTTTTGTACATTGTATGCATTACAGACTGTATTCTTACAATGAAATAGCCTAGAAAAAAGAAGGTTCTTAGGAAAATCATGAAGAAGGGAAAATAAAAAATTCACGTGTAAGTGGACGCACCCATGTTCATGGGCAACTGTCGTTCTAGCAGCCGATGATGGAATCCAGCATCTGGTCCTCCTGCAGGAGGCAGCCAGTGAGCACCGGCTCTTCCAGTAGCACAACCTCTGTATTTCTGAGGAGTGTGGCTGCATTACTTTACTCCGAGAACCGTTCTTCCCCCCCATCTGGGGCTCATTCTTCCCTCTCCCTCTCCCGGTGTGATTTTGGGGCTACATCAGTATCCTTTGGCATTACCCAAACTCCTCAAAATATTGTCCGCAGCTGTGTGTGTCCTACGATAATACAGTTTCCCTTTTGTACGTGACCATTTCCTCCTCTTGGAGTCTCCGTGTTTCGTTTGCTCTGTGTGCTGGGTATGTCTCCTCAATTCGGCCCCAGCCCCGGACAGAGTGTAAATCTCCTCAGCCCCTTCACACAACAGGGAATCTGTGATTCTGATGTTTTGTTTTGTTTTTCTTAGAAAGGTCACTCCCAGAGCTGTTCATTCTCTTGCAGACGGATTGCTGTCTAGACCCTCATTCCCTGTCATCTGGGGGACACCCTCTGTTCTCTTCTGCGGGGGTCACCTGTTTTCTGGATCCCTGGCTTCCCCTTGTTTTCCCACCTCATTCTGGTGGAGCTCATCCTGTAACAAGTTTCTGCAAAAGGAGTGTGCGGGGGTCGTTTTTCTGAGAACTTTCCTTGTCTGAAAGTGTTCCATTCTGGCCCGCCCACTGGAGAGATAGTTACACTGGGTATAAAAATCAAGGTTGGAAGTCATTCTGGGGGTTTTGAAAGTGTCACTCACTGACTGCCAGCTTCCAGAGTCGCCTTTAGGGAGTGACAGTGACGTTTTAATTCCTTATCCTTTGAAAAATTAACTTCTAGGGGAGACCCTTCAAGTTTAATTTTCCTACTATATTTATAATTCTAGAGGATTCTTTTCCATCACTATTATTCATGGGTAGCCACGTGCTCTTGGTAGATGAGTATTGTTTTATTTCAGTGAGGAAGCTCCGGTCCTGTTGTTCCATGAGGTTTTCTCTGCCACTCTGTGTAAGGGACTGGGAAATGATGGTGGTTTTTCACAGGTTAACACTCTACACGAACGAAGGTGAGTGTAGTCTGTACCGACCTGCCACCGGCATTATCCCCCGCCTACTAGTCACTTGGGGCCAGTTGGTGCCCCCACCACTCTGGGGGCTCTCCTCCAGTGCCTGGCGGTCCTCGCGTGTCCTCGTGTCTGTGTGACAGGAGCGCTGACAGACGGAAGGGAAACTGCGTGTGTGTGTATAGGCGGGACACAACCCGTGCGTCCCTGTGGGAGCCGACTGGGTCGGGACCTAACGCACTTCCTGGGGACTTTCTGTCCGTCAGTGTCTGTAGTTCCCATCGCGCTTGTTTCTCAGCGGAGGCAGCTTGGCCACCCTGCCCACTCAGCTCTGTGTTTCCGACGGGGGTTAGAGACGGCGTGGGGGCCCGACTTCTGTTGTGGACTGTACGTGAGCATCGGGTGTTCAGCCCCCTGCTCTCCCGCCGGTCAGGGGCCTCGGGCACCAGTGTTTGGAGATCACACGGACCGGCCTCTGCGCTCTGCCCTCCGCCAGCCCTCGTCGACCGGCTCCCCAAGGTCGGCCCATCAGCTCCCGGCGTCCAGAATTCCACCGACATCTCTGTTGGCTCTGTGGGTTTTCTCCTCTTGTGTTTATCCATGTGATTTGTGACTTTTTGGGTTTTGCGCATAATTTACGGAGGTTTCAGAAGGAAGTAGAGGTACGCACTCCACCGATCCCTTTGGCCAGAAGTCGGGAAGCCTGCCTCCCAGGGCGCCCCCTTCATTCCTTTCCGGGTCCGAGGGCCTTGTGGGGGGCGCAGTAGATCTACGGGTTCTCACTGAACCGACGTGGGGGGTGTTACCAGAATAATGGCCACCTAAGTTTTCTTGTTACTTCTGAGGGATTAAAAATGACCAATGTAGGAATGGGAGTAGCAGGTTTTTAATTAACCCTGGGAAATAAATGGGACGTCAGTGGAAAAAGACCCAGGCCGTGGGAGTTTCTGTGTTTAAAGTCCCTGTTCTTAGAACATCGTTGATTCCTCCCGAGTCTTTTACTGGTGATGGTCTTTCCAGGGGGTGGGGCTGGGCGGCCCAGGAAGCACCAGGGTGCAGACACCGGGACCCCCGGGGGAGCACAGAAAGCCTTGCGTGTCTCCTTAAGGCCGAGGGACTCCCAGCCTCCCCATCACGTAGGCGCGAGAAACCTGAGATAGATTCTCGAGGGACCCTGCGTCAGGCCCCGTTGTCCTGTGTTCTAGGACAATGGTTGTCCCCAGTGCCCTTCCTAGAGCCAGGCCAGCAGAACACAGGTATGGTCAAGGTCACGGTTGCAGATTCTGCTCTGCCTATCTTATAAAAAAAAAACAACATCCAGATTCCAAGCCAGCGCTTAGAGTACGTGGTCGTCCTCTTGATGCCTGAGTTCTGAGCCTTTAACCAGTCAGTACTCAGAATCTATTCATTCGTTGTTTACTGAGGGCCTACTGTGTGCCCTGCACACACTGGGGGTGCAGTGGGGAAAAAAGATAGATGTGCACCCCCATCAAGGAGCTCTTTCTGGAGGAGAGAGGCCAATGAGAAATAAGGACAGGAACCCAGGGGGCGCAGCCCGGCAGCGGGCCCGGGAGGGGCCCAGCTGGAGGCCCTGGGCTGGGGTGGAGGGCGGAGGTGGGAAGGGGGTCCGAGGAGCGTCTGCCCTCAAGCTCAGAAGGTAGTTCTCTCCCAACCTCCTGTCCACCCAGCGGGGGTTCTGCCTGTGTGAGGAAGCCGGAGGCCGGGAGGTGAGGACGGCACCCCACTCATACACCCCCAGGGCTGCACGAATGGCCCTGAGGGGCCCTCAGGGGACCGGTCCGCTGTGCTGTGTCCTGTCTGAGTCACCAGCCCCCGGAGGCCAGGGCCAGGCGCAGAGCCCGAGTCACCAGGCACCTGGAGCATTTCCTCGGGCCGGTGGTGCTGCTGGGAGATTAAACACATTCGCCGAGAGAAAGCAGAGAAATAACTTTGGATAACCAGCATCTGTTAGTTAATGGGCTTCTGAGAGCTGTATACGATTTAAACTTTTTATTAAAAAAGAAAAAAAGCTCGTTTACTCTCCTGGGAGCTTACGCTGTGAAATTATCAACTGCTCCAGTTTTTTCCTTTTAAACGTGACTGAACATACAATGGAGAACATTAATTTTGTTTTGTTTTGTTTCGAACGAGAACTGTGGGTTTCACTCTCCCCGCTTTTGATTAAAGCCATCTCAGCTTGTATGTGGGGGGGCCAGACTCACAGGGGGAGCCAAGAGAGGCCCCCGGGCCCCAAACCCACCCTCCCATTTCAACCCCACCCTCCCATTTCAACCCCAGCCTGGAGCAGGCCCACTGGCCTTTCTCCAACGAGATGTTTTTCTGTTCGCGTCAGAACCAAGACCGTTCCAGAACCAAAACGCCCTGGAGGGAGGATCGGGCCACAGTCCAGACAGCTAATTAGGGGTGGCTCAGGGCGGGTCCCACAAAGCAGCCCTGAATTGCTTCCCCCAAACACAGTCAAGGAATCCCACCCTTGTCAGGGGGGCTGAGCCCCCAGCGGCCACCCGAGAGGAGGCTCAGCTCTCAGGCCGGAAGGGAGGCCCAGCTGCTGGTGACCACGGTGAGCCCCCCATCCTCTCTGAGCCTGACTCAGGGTCCTCATGTCACGAAGCAGGCACACCCTCACCCACACTGCCGGGCCCCTGCAGGGACGCACCTGGCCTGGCAGGGACCCCCTCCCCTCCCTCACGTTGGTGTGAGGGTTCACTGGGGTCACTCAGCGGTGGCTACTGAGGTTCCGCCACAGACCAGGCACCAAGGAACCGGTTGGAAAAGGTCGGGGTGGCTGACTTGGTCCTTCCCTTTTACATCTGCTGCTGAGGCAGGGTCCGTGGGAATACTCACTTTAGGCTGTGACCACAGGAAATGTACACAGAGTGACAGGACGGCCAGAAGACAAGGGAGGGAAGGAGGCTGCTTTCTGGGGGTGCTGATGGCGGGTGTCACCCGAGGAGGTGACAGAGGTGACACGTAGTCTAAGACTAAGACGGGAATGAAAAGAGGCAAGTTTCTAAGGAACAAGGGAAAGAGGTGTTAGGCAGAAACAATGACCTGTGCAAAGGCCCTGGGGCAGGAAACAGCTTGCTGAGATCAAGAGAGAGAAGGATGCAGGGTGCAGCCTGGGAGGTGGGACCTTTCGGACACTGGGGGGCTGGGAGCTGGGATCTTATCCCCGGGCACTGGAAGCCCCCACAGCGTCCGAAGCAGGGCCTGGCCGCAGCACCCACTCGAGGCGCGTCACGGAGAATACCAGTGCTGACCTCCACTGGTTTTATTTTCTTTCTCCGGAAGACGGTTCACTTCCTTTCCTTCAAATCATAATCCCCCTCGGTCGATTTTAATAACTGGCAAGAACAGTTTTCGGGCTGTTTAATTTTATTAAAAGATTCAAATTTGATGATAAATAGCGGCAGGGTTGCCTCGAGCCTCAGATACTAAACTCGCTCAGCCACGGACACGTAGCCGCCACCCACCCTCCTCACCACCAGGGACCGCCCCACCCCACCCGCCACTCTGATGCAATCTGAGGCCGTAAATAATTATTTCTTGTGCTTTGGTAAATACGCTGGGAACACTTGTCACTCTCAGACCCACAGACGATATTAACTTGGTGTTTTTTGGTTTTTTTAAAAGAAGAATGGGGAGATAAGTTAGAGCAATTTCAGCGGGCTGATGGAACCCCACACAATCTCACGGAAGGACAAGGGCTTCCTTCTGGAAGCATCATTAGCCTCACAGACAATTGTTGTTCGAGATCCGTGACAAGAGCCAGAGATAGGAATCGGGCGGAGGAAGGAGGGGGCGCCCTGTCCGCACCGAGTCTGGAAAACCTCGGGCCCCCCAGGATGCCAGTCTGTTTCAGACTGTGCAGACGCAGCCCCGGGAACACAGGCAGGGGCCAGGAGAGGCGCGACCTGTCCCCACCGAGCAGAGGAAGTGGTCGGCGTCACGCCAGCAGGCTGCCTGTCCTCCGGAGGTCACCATGTCGCCCCGTGACCCTGACCTCTTCCTAGAGTGGTCTCAGGGATGCATTTGGCTTGTTTTCCTCCCTCCTGGTCAGTCAAGGCCAGGGATTCTCAAAGACAGAGGACACCTGTGCAGGGCTAATCACAGAGCATGCTGGCATCATCGTGCTCGTCAGTATTAATTACTTTCCAAAGGCCGAGACCCCACTTTCCCCCAAAGCCCTGCCCCCTGCAGCCAGCCCAGGGTGACATTGTTTGGGGCGGGTGAGGGCAGCCACGCTCCCAGGCTCGGAGGGAGGGAACATCTCCGCACGCAGTGTGCACAGCTGGAGGCCTGCCTCCCGGAAGCACGCGCAGGTGTGCGCAGGTGAATGCACGTGTGTGCAGGTGCTGGCAGGCAGAGCTCGAGGAAGCTGGGTTTTCTCCGAAGACACGAGCTCTCTGCCAGTGAGCAAGCACCAGAAGCCCAGGGCGGCACCTTTAATTCGCGACTCCGGTCTGAGTGTGTGTTTTGGAATTTGAATTAGTGGTCTTTAGGCCACCACCACGCAGGGCAGACCAGCAGCAGCGTGTCCCCATGAAGCCTCACCCTCATGGCGCAAGATCCCAAGGGTGCAGGGAGGGATGGGGGTGCCTCTGAGGTCCAACCCCTGGCACTGGTCCTCGAACAGCCCCCGAAAATCGAGAGCAAGCATTCAAAACTCAAAGCGGTTGATTGACGTTGCCGCAGTGCCCAGGCTGGTGGGCACGACTTGGCGACCAGCCGTGGCACAGGCTCTGCAGGCACTGGTGAAATCAGGGGCTGAGCCACCAGGCCACAGGCTGAGCTGCAGTCTGCGACACCACACAGGGGAGAGAGCCGGACCTCCTCACAGACAGGGGGCGGAGTCAGTACCAGGTGGGAGTCCCCAGGCTCAGACAGTGTCCCCCTCTCATAGCCGCTGGAGGAAGGCCAGGCTGAGAGCCAGGAGCAGGAGGACAGGGGCCCCTTGAGGACAGCACCCCCCACTGCGAAGGAGGGGCGTCTGCAGCAGAGGCCTGTGCTGTGGGGGCCGGGAGAAGTCCCCGGCCGCCCCACTGCAGAGCACCAGGGGCGCTTGGTAAGAGGTGGGGCGCTTCTCGGGGGTGTCCGGACTGGACCCATCGGTGGGCCTCTGTCCGATGAAGAGCAGGCTTTGCCCGAGAGGGTCTCGCTCCATCCTGAACAGCTCGTACTCCAGGTGGGGGAGCCTGATGCCCAGAGGCAGGCACCCGTTGGTGGCTGTGACATCCCGCTCTGTCCCCAGGGACCAGGTCCCCGGGCCCCCGCAGCTGCTCGGCTCGGAGAAATTGAGCATGGCCGTGGTGGCCTGGTCCATGGGGGTCACACGAGCCTCCGTGACCTGGAACACCAGCTCGGTGCCGCCCAGGACCTTGGTGGACGGTGTGCCCCTGGTGTAGCGGCCGGCCGCGTAGACGGTGAAGGTGGGCTGCCGGCAGGCGGGGTCCGAGAAGTGGCGGTAGCGCCCTTCCCAGGAGCGGTTGTGCCCGTGGAAGGTGAAGAGCCTGGTGAGGAAGAGGACGGCGGGACGCACCTCGCACGCAGGGCTGACCCAGCGGCCGCCAAGGTGCAGGGGCAGCGCCGTCTGGGCGGGCAGCACGGGCGGGTGGTGCTCGTCGGAGCGGGCGAGGAGGCCGCAGGCCGGGCAGGGCCGGGCGTGGTGCTGCGGAGACAGACAGAAGGCAGTGGGTGTCCCAGGCGGAGAAGTCAGGGTGCACCCCAGGACAGGGCATGGGGGCGACCTGCCCTGTCTGTGGTCCCTTGTCACTCTCTCCACTCCCTGCCTCTGGCCTGAGGCTGCTTTGCTCCTCTCAGACCTCGGTGGGCTCCTGTCTCCCCCGGACCTCCGCACCTGCTGTCCCTGCTCCCTGCACCCGCCCCGGAAGGTGCCTGGCCAGCTCCTGCTTTGTCTGCTGGGCCTTGGCTCCAAAGCGGCCCGAGGGAGACCCTTCCTGGCCACCCCACGCCCGGCCACCCTCGGGTCCCTTCTAGCACTCAGAAACCGGTCACCTGTCCTTCTCGCCACCCTTCCCTTCACTGGATTGTGTGCTCCCGAAAGCAGGGCTGTCCCTCTGTGGCCGCTGTCCCCAGGGCCTGGTTCACAGCAGGGACAAATCGCTGAGTGGGGAAGGAATGAGAGAGGCGCAGACTTGACAACAGCCACCCCTCCCCGCACGCAGCCTGAAACTTGGCCCGTTGGGCTATGGTTGTTTCCTCGCCCACAGAGGAGGCTCTCTCTACCCCCTCACAATTTTAGGTGCCTCTGATGGGCCAGGAGCCGTGCTTAGCATGTCCTTACTCAGCTGTGATGTATTAGAGCAGAGAAAGCTAAACTCAGCAGGCCAGGTGGCTGGCCAAGCACGTGGCCGAGACCGGCCGCACCCCTGCCTGTCAGGACCCATCACCCCTGCCAGGGGTCCGTGTCTCCACCGCTGGGAGGAAGAGGGAGACCGTGTGTCCCCAGAACCCTCCCCTCGGAAGGCGCGTGCCCTTCCTGCCCCTGCCTTGGCCAGTGGACGTGGCACCAGGGATGACAGCGCCCATGGAATGCCATTGCTTAGAGCCTGTGCGAAGGGGATGGGACAGCAAGGTGCCCACTGCAGTGTCATTTACAATGGGGATGACCGGCCTCCCCTGGGGTGTCAGGCGCAGCCACGGCACTTCCTGGCCTGGGCTGTGACTCTGTTCACTTTCTCGTCGGCCTCATTGACGATTGTCCCTGCCTTACGGAGTCTCACGAGCTCAGTCTATAGGGAAACACGTGCACAGGGCCCAGGTGGTGGACCGCATGGTTGGGGGTAGGCAGCCCGCACCGGGGAGTGGAAAGGCCTGTAGAGGCCAAAGAGGAGCCCACACAGACTTTCTGGTGGCGGCTTGGTTTGGGTTTTTGACAGAGAGCTGCTGCCCAGCACTTAGTCCAGAGCCTCACTGGAAAGGGGACTGTCCTCGACACAGTCACCTGTCCAAACTAGGTGGGCACAGGGACCAGTGGACAGCCACACCTGCAGGGCGGGCCAGGGGAAGGGCTGCTTGGGGACTGGGCTGGGGAATCCGCTTCTATTATTTTTCCTCGTAAAAACAAAAGATTTCCACGGATGGCTCCGCAGTGGCGTTCACGCGAGACAAGGGGTGTTGGGGAGTCCGGCTCAGAAAGGACGGATGTCCTGGACCAGGGAGAGCGTTTCCTTTTCCTTTTTCGAGTGGCCACACTTGTCATTTCTTTCTGCGATGAACCTACCCTTGCCTTGATTTTCAGAATGTAGAGAGGTGTGTTGGTTTTCCTCTGGGGGATGCTGACCCAGAGAACTCGAAGGCGCTCTGAAATATTGGTAATGGGGGCAGAGAGGTTTGTGCGGGCTGGAAGCCAGCAGGCTGGGCCGCTCGCAGGAGCAGGGCTGATGGAGTGCGGGCCGGAGAGGGCCTGCTTGGACCCCGGCGTTTTGACCCGCACTCTGACCGTTGTATGTGTATCACCGCGACACAACGCCCTACATCGGAGTAATCCCAGGCTGCCCTTCCCCAGAGAATAGAGCCGTCTTCTGCAGGCAGAGCACCGAGGGCACTGGTGGGTGATTCGGTGCGAACATTTTCTCAGAGAGCAAAACTGACGAGAACCCACACAGCTTCTGGGGTGAGAGAAGGGGGAGAGACGTCATGTCCTCCTCCAGGGCTCTTGCAGGGGGCGAAGGAAGGGATCCGTCGCCATCACACACACCTTCCACACATCCTTGGGCAGAGGCCGGGGCCTCACGTGTTAATAAACAGACCTCTGCCGGCAGAACGCACGCCCGTGCGGGAGCCAGGCTCTTCCCGGTGTAAGCCTGTTACATAAAACTGCTTCTCCAACATCACCTGCAGCTTCTAATTAACCCCCAGAGGTGACGCCAGGCTCAGACGATTTTGGTTGAGTGCTGGCTGATTGATTAGGATTCTATACCCCGGCAATGAATTTGGGGATCAAATTGGTTGTAAATTAACTTCTAACAAACGTTCATGTTTACCACGTGGTTCGGGCCCTGGGCAAGGCTGGGGCCCCGCTGAGCACACGGTGCCGCCGGGTCTGTTCCTCGAGGGTTTCTGTGCGTTTCCTTCTCTGAAATGATCTTCCATCTGTTTTGTTTTGTTTTTTCCAGAGAGGGGACATTTAATGTAATGTGCATGCACCTGGCATCGTTTGCGCACGTGCCCCCCTGTGTCCTGCTTCTCAGTCGCGTGGTGGGCGGCAGTGGCGACCATGGGGGCGCCCAGGGGCAGGAGCCCACTGCCCAGAGCCCAGCCTGGGGGGCCATGAAGGTGGCATCCTCTGTGCCATTGGGTCCATGCTAAAGAGGTGGCGGGCTCCAGTCATCTCCCCCAGCCAGGGCCTGCTCTTAAGAAGGAGTGACATCAGCCCAGGCCGGAGCCCCGGCTGCCACAGAGGGGGGTCTCGTGTTAAGGTCTGAGAAAGAACGCAGGCTGGTTTTCTGATCTCGAGAATGTCTGGTGCTTCTTCTCCTCTCCCCAGATCCTGCCTCCAGAGGAAAGGGACCGACTCGTCCCCAGTCCCCTGCCAGGTGGGTACTCTGACAGGTGGCAGCTCCCAGGGGTGAGAAGCTGCCGCATCTGGTTCGGTTCCTTGGTGTCTAGTACATAGTAGGCCCTCAGTACGCGCTGAATGATGGGACAGTGGCATCAGGGCTCCAAGAGCACCTGGCAGGGACGCCTGAACTCACCCGTCCCTCCCTCCATCCATTCTTTCTTTCAGAGGGCCACCCCTTGGGTGCCAAGTGCAGACGTTCTTAACCTTGAGCCGGAACCTTGCCTTGGTGTTGACTAACCTCTAATAACAGTGAAGGTTTCTTCTCGCTGTGAACGCAGACAACAAGCTCTGGAAACTCCCAGAACCCCTACCTCCTTCAAACAGTCAGTCTTCCAGATGCCGGGAACTGTGTTACACTCCTCGCTGCTTGGAAATTAAGGGAGAATGAAGAACTCGTGTGCCTAGTACTGTTACGTCACTAGCGATGCTGTAAGAGGCGGGCACCTCCTGGAACAGCACTGGCTTCTATTTAAATGAGATATATTTTACTTCATGCTTTCAGAAACACGTGGCTCTGCAGGGGTCCTTGGTCTTCCTCGGAGGCACAGGAGCAGTTACCAGGCTCCGCCCACGCTGGCCATGAGGCTCCGCCCATGCTGACCACGAGGCTCCGCCCACGCTGGCCAGGCTGTCTGCTAGGTGTGGGGGACCCACAACACAAATGAAATTCAGTTTCTTTCTCCCTCACATTGGAACAGAAAGTTTGTGGTGGTTTAATTTAAAATCTGGGTCAATACGCTTACATGATTGTCACTTTGGAGTCCCTGGGGTGCCTTTTGAAGAGAGGGCAGCTCCCTTGACACTGTAGCCTCCGGCCCAGAGGGTGGTCCACAGCCCACCGGGAGCCTGTTAGGATTGCACAGCCCCAGGCGCCAGCACAGACCCGCGGAACCTGGCCCCACATTCCACCAGAACACCCAGGGGAGGCTGAGAACCACTGGAGTCTGAGCCACACTGCTCTCCCCGCCGTCAGCACAAAGCAGCGCTCAGTGCCTCTGGTGCTGGGCCAGCCCCCAGGGGTCTGCCCCGCCTGGAGCTTTAGGGGGGACCTCTGAGCGCTGTGTGGCCTCCTGGAGGAAGCCTGCCGTTTCCTCGGTTCAGTCACCAACGTTTATCGGCCCTGGCTGTGAGTGGCCCTGGCTGTGAGCCAGACCTGGGCTGGGGGTGGGGACCATGGAGGGGCGAGATTTCGCCCAGTGGAGGGTCTCAGCCTGGAGGCAACAAACAAAGAAACAACACAGCCCAGGGCTGCTGAGGGGGGCAGAAAGGGGTCCCTAGAGGAGGTGCCAGGAGGGTCAGGCGTGAAAAGGCTGAAGAGTGGCTCCTTTTGGAAAAAAGCCAGCCCTGGGAAGACCCCAGAAAAGATGGCTCAGGCAGAGGGAACAGCATGTGCAAATGTCCTGTGGCCAGCAGACCAGGGTGGGGAAGCAGGGAAGGCCCCGGGCAGGGAGTGCATCAGGTGGGGCCTACTGGGCCGGGCTCAGAGCTCGTCCTCCGGGGCCCCACACTCACCAGGGCGCTCTGCAGCGGGCGCTGGTAGCCAGTGGGCCGGTAGTGCCGCCTCTCTGCCTGGTCAGTGTGGATGTCCCCCAGGTACAGCTCCTCCACCAGCAGGGGTGCGGCCCGGGGCTGCGGCTGCAGGCGGCGCTGCACTCGGACCAGGCTGAGCTCGTGCATGGTGAAGCCCAGGGCGGCCATGCAGTTCCTCTCGGCCCGGGCACTCAGCAGCTCATAAAGAGCGCTGGGCACCCAGGCCCGGGCCGGGGGCAGCTGCCGGGCACAGTCCCGGCCTGCCTGGGTCCGGTTGAGGCGTCCAGTGATATCGAGCAGGGCATGGCGGCTGTGGAAGACGATGCCCACCTTGTGCAGGTGATAGTCGGCCTCAGTGGCACCCCGGGTGACCCAGGAGGCCCGGCGCAGGCGGACCTTGCCCTTGATGACCAGCGAGTGGGCAGGCTCCCGGCAGAGGGGGTCCTCGTAGTAGAACTGGTAGGCTCGGAAGAGGCGGCCGGGAAAGAAGATGTAGGATCGGGTGAGGAACTCCGGCCCCGGGCGCACCTCACAGCTGTTAAGACAGCAAGAGCAGGTGGGACAGCAGTGAGGACCTGCAGGGAGCCCCTCCCCCTCTGGACGGGCTCCCACCCCCTCCACTCCGGTTGCAGACCGCAGCTCAGGGCTGGCCTCCTGCAGCCTCAGGTTCCCTGAGTGATCTCAGTAAGCTCCACTCTGGGAGCCGGGGGTCTTCCACACAATGCCTCATGGTTTCAACACAAGGCCTTGAGTCCCTCCTCTGCTGAATCCTAGTCACCTTCTTCCATCGATCCTCTCCACTGTGGGTCCCTGTGGATGCCAAGGGTGCCCGGGAAGTGCACGGGCTTTGCATCTGGAGACCCGGGTCCTTCCTCTGGGGAGTGGAGGTATCAGAGTCACGGCCACGGTCTCAGGACACGCCCAACGCAGTGGTGTCTCAGGGAGGCACTGAGACAGGCTCCCTGGCTGAGATCTCTGGGGGCACCCAGCCCAGAGCCCGGGACCCGGGACCTGCCCGGGTCCTGGCCGAGGAACCGCCGAAGGGCAGGGGTGATAGGCCCTCACATCCTGTCTCTCTTGCAAGGCAGACTTGCCTGACCAAGTGTGCCCCACACCTGTGACGGTTTGTGGGTCAGAACCGGAGGTCAGCCAACTGTGGAAAGGGTCAGGCTGTAACTATTTTTTGCTTTTGTTGGCCAGTTGGTCTCTGTCCCACCGACTCAAGGTTGTGGCTGCAGAGCTAAAGCAGCCAGAGGCCTATGCAAATGTGTCCATGGCTGTGTGCCGATAAAACTTTATTCACAAGAGCAGGTGTGGGCTGGACCTGTGCTCCGGGCCCTGTTCTGCTGGTGGTGAACATGAGCACAGGGTGTGCTGGGGTACTAAGAAATGCTGAATGACTGCGAGACCCACGTCACACCTAGGCTGGGGCAGGGACACCCCTGGGACTCTCCTACCACGGGCCAGGGAGGGTGTGCGGTGGGCGAGTTGGCGGGTTGCGGGGGGCGAAGAGCACGCCCTTCGCCAGCACTCCTCTGACCAGGACCACCTCTACTGTTATCTTCTCCGTGTTTGCCACACCCGGGCTGCTGGTGCACACCCAGCACGCACACGGCCCGTGGTTTTTCCTTCCATGTCTCTGGTTGTGCTAAGGAGAAGAATCTGTTGGCGCTCACGTGTCTCTGGCACCGACCTCCCTTCCTCCCACGGAGAGCGGACGCAGGGCCTCGGGCAGGCGACCGATCTAGTGAGCATTTAATTATGTTGTTTTGCTTCCATCGACTTTCTTTTTACATTACCTCCCATTTATAGCAAGTGGCTCTGCTCTCCATATCCAGGGACATATTACGCTTCCTTTAAAAATAATTAGAGTACACAGTAAATGTGCTGTTTACTGTATACCAATTATACCTCAATAAAGCTGTACTAACAGATGAATATGTTTAAGTGAACAAAAGCAAGTTGGTCTGAAGGAACGTCGGGAGGCAATGCCAGCTCCCGACGTCATTAAGCGCAGTGAGGGCGGCGCAAACGCCCGGCGGTGGCCTCGGAGTCCGCTCACCTGCGCCTCAGACCAGGCCAGGGAGGGTGTGGTGTGCCTGAGGGGTCACAGCAGGCCACACTGGACACTCAGTGGTCCCCAGACTCTGGATCCTTCTCTGCACTACTCCAGGAAGCAGCGAGGCCTCTCTGGAAAGCACACAGGGGAACTTTCTAGGAAGAAGATTCTAGAAGTTTCCAGAAGCCCTGTTCCCGGAATGCTGCTTTCCCAGGGCAGGAGCAGCCTGCAGCTGGACCACACCCTTCCCGAGCCCCAGTTCTGTCTGCGATGACCCGGCCAGCAGTGCCTTTGGGTGAGAGCCCGGGACTGCGTCCAAAGAGCTTGTGTGGAGCCCTGGACCCCTCCCTCCCCCTGGGGCGACAGCAGATGTTTGGCATCTGCTTCCTCCCTGACCTCAGAAGGTACGGGTAGGAGAGGGAGAGGCCGCCCAGCCCCTGATTGCAGAGTGGGGCTGGCTGGGAGGGGGTGGCGGAGAAGGAAGTGCTGTGCCAGGTGTGGAGGAGGCCACTGGCCCCTTCTCCCCACCCCTGCCCCAAGAAGGGGGTCTCAGCTGGCTGCTGTGGAGAGCACGGCCCACCAGTGAGGGCAGAGTCCAGAGCCCATTGGCCCCAAGTGGCCTCGGTGCCTGAGCAGCTAGGGAAGCCTGTGAGGTTGGAAAGAGAATAGACAGGCAAGCGGGATGCTGGGGCACTCTCTAGCTCACCACATCCTGCCGCAGGACCTTTGCACCGGCTGCTCCGGCTGCCTGACTCTTCCCCTGGCTCTCTGCATGGCTGACTGCTCTTCTTTCAGCCCTCAGCTGAATGTCACCACCTCCGAGAAGCCTTCCCTGACCACACTCACAAAACTCTTCAGGTCACTCATGATCACATCTTCAGTTTTGTTTCCTTCATTTGAGAGCTCGGCACCACCCTGAGTCTGCATTACTTATTTCTGTGCTCATGTGTTTAGGGCTTGTCCCCATGGTGCTGGTTCACACTAGGCGCCCAGTGAGTGTGAGCAGAGTGGGTGCTCGATGTGTGGACTAGGGGGACTTTGTGCAGTTGGGGTGGGATGTGCCCGATGTAGCGCCTGCCTTCCAGACTCGCTCTGTGGTGGGGGCCGGCAGCGGGTCCCTGGCACAGTTGCAGGCATTGTGTCTGCCTCACAGATGCAGATGCTGAGGCTCACAGAGCCCTCTCCCTGCCCAGGGGCTGGAGGTCAAGGGGTCCCTAGGGCCTTACCCAGTGGAGATCCAGCGTCCCTCGAGGCGTGGGGGCAGCAGTGTGGTCACGGGCACTCTGTTGGTCACAGGCTGCTGGCAAGGCGGTGCCCAGCGCAGGCGGTCACGGCCTGCTGTCCCGGCCACCTCCACGGTTCGGGCTGCAAAGCAAACAGACCCAGGTAGCCTAGCGATGCCAGCGTTTCCCAGGTGCTCCACCAGCCCTACCCTCACCCCTGCCCACTCCCCACCCTGGCACCCAGCTCCCCCTCAGGCCGCCCCAGTCCCCAGACAATGATGGGGTAATAAAAATTGGGATGCCTAGAATGAGCTTTGGGACTCATCTCCTGGATTCTCTGATGTGACCACCACGGAATCCAAGCCTCCTGGAGGGAGACCGTCCCAGCTTCTGGAAGTTACTGCGCTGAGCCAGGCCCCTGGCAGCCCCAGCCCTGCTTGGACTGGCTGGTGGGGCCGAGTGCCACCAGTGGGAGCCCAGGGGCCCTGTGCCCCCAGATAGAGTCACTCTCGACCCCGGGGGCAGTGGGGCTGCCACCCCCTCACCCAAGGAGTCCAGGTTACGCGTCCGCCTTGGAGCCAGGCTCCTGTGTAGTTCCTCTCCACCTCCTGGGACCCAGGCCAGTGTCTAGCACACAGTGGGTGCTCAGGAAGTGTGCAGTGGGTGCTGGGGCTGGGGCGGGGCCCGGGCACGGGGTCCAGGGGCGGGAACGGCGGCTGGGCGGGCCCTTGTGAGTGCACCTGCTGTGCTCACTGGTGGAGACGAGCATGGCCCGGGGCAGGAGTACCCCCTCTCTGTTCCGCCACCAGGGGTGAGAGCGCCAGGACCCTCGGGGGCTCGAGAGCAGCCATCCTGCCGGCCCGACCCAGCCCCGACGGTGGCCCGGACGGCGGTGTTCTCTGGGAGCCTGGCAGCACCCGCATGCAACAGCAGCGGGCCGTGCTCACGGGAGCCCGGGCTCCACCCGGCCTGCCTCCCCACCAGGGCTTTCCGGGCCATCCTCCCACTGAGCCTGTGGCCTAAGCCGGTCAGGGGCTCCAGTCCTGGCAAAGATGTCGGCCGGCCCAGGGAGGCAGGCCCTGGTGGCCCAGGGGGCCCCAGGAAGGCTGGGGTGCTGTGTGGAGAAGCGACAGAGTGACCCATTCTGCCCCTCCCCACTGCGCACTCACTCACGCCCTCCTGTGGGGTCCCAGAGAGGCAGCAGGGCTGGGGGAAGCATGGGACACGGGGCCCCAGCAGCCTCTCAGGAAAATGAGGCTGAGCAGACTTCTCACTCCCCCAGAGGTCAGGGGGGGTCTCACCCAGAGACTCTTGGGGTCCCCAGTGATCAACTGACAGCTGTAGCCACGTGGATGGTGGGGCCGATGACGAGTGTGGTCCCTATGAACCGAGTGCTGACTCCATGTGCTTTTATATTTTATCTGACTTTTGCAACCACCCTTGAACATGGGGGTCTGCGGTAACGTTCTCCTCGGTGACACGGGCTTAGCTGGCATGGGGCCCGGGCCGCCCAGAGGTGGCAGTGCCAGGTTCAGTCCCAGGCTGTCACACTCTGGCCTGATGTCTCAGCCATTGCTCATCTCGAGTGGGGGGCAAGAGGAAGGGTCTGTTTTCAAGACTCGGTGAGATGCAGGTGCTTGAAGGGCAGTGACAGAAGGAAGTGGGAGAGAGGGTAGGGAGGCAGCACAGCGGGGTCCCTGCTGTGTTCTGGCATCTCCCACGACTGCTTTACTGGCTTTAATCAGCCAAGCAGGAGCAATGAAGACAAACGGCCACCGAACCCAGGCTCTGGTGTCCCCACGTGGGCACCGAGGCTCCCCGAGAGCTCACAGGGCTCACCCTCTGCCGAGGCGGTCCGTGTCGGGGGAGTCTGGGGTGAGAGGAACCCGGGGTGGTTCTGGAGGAGCTCGGGCACATGAATTTTGGGGGGACAGGAGCCCTGACACGATGGCGGAGTTTGTCCGCGATGGGGCCCTGCCGGGGGTCTGACCTGGACGCACACTCGGCAGCAGCAACACCTTCGGCATCTTCCTGTCTGGGACCTGGGTCCCCGCCCTCAACTCTGCAGGTTGGTTTGAGCATCACCTGTGTCCCTGACGCCTGACTGGGTGCCGACTGGGGGGATGGGTGCAGGCGGAGGGAAGCAAAGGCGCCGCGGGGGCGGGCGTCGTGGGCTTCGAGCTGGTGTCTCGGAGCCGGGCCCTGAACGAGCCCTGAAACGGTCTTGATGTGGGTCCCGCAGGGGTCGGTTTCTTGAGGAGACGCGTTCCTGTCCTGCTGTGCTCTCTCAGAAGGCACGGTCCCGAATCCTCCAGCAGTGTGCTGTGGAGCTAAGGGTTCGTCTTGCTTTGCTGAAACCCTAATGAAATTCGGGTTTCATTATGTCGGGAGATGACGTGTTGCAGCGGAATCCCCTTGCGTGTCAAACGTGTACACGCCAAACAAAACACCCAGCGAGACAGTGCCACCACCGCCGCCAACGTGCGGGAGCTGTCCGCTTCCAGGACGCAAAGGTCAAGTCCGCCGCCGACTCTGGAAGAACACGTGACATTCTCTCGGCTGCAGCTTTTGAGGAAGTCCTTCCGTTTTCTTGTCTTCTCTCTCTCTCCCCACCCTTTTTTTCCTAGAAAAGTCTTCACTAAAGAAACAGCCGCCAGAAGCAGATGGTGCGGGGGGGGGGGGGGGGGGGGCTGGGCTGAGCGACTTTTCGCAGGGACCTGGTCGACTGACTTACATGCGTGGGCCAAATTGATTTTTATCAACCATGGATTTTTAATTAACAGTGGCGTCCACTTACCGCCATCCATTATTTACTGTTTACCCACTAATTAAAAATTATGCTGCTTTTGCACTCATACGAGCAGGGACATTTGAAATTAGATAGCATCGTTCAAATTACCTGCGGAATTAAACCCAGAGTGCCCGGCTGCTCAGACCGGGCTGCTGGGGTTGAAAATATGGTCTGCTCCAGCCTGGTGTCTCACCGCCACTCAGAGTCCCAGGAACAGACCTGCGGCGTGGGCCGGCCCGGGGCCTCTGGGGAGGCGGACTTGCTCAGTCTCCACCGAGTGCGGCACTTGGCCGAGACCGTCTCAGGTTGGCTCTGCCTACGCTGCGGTGGGGTTGCCCGCCATCCGGTCCCAGGGAGGTGGCTTGTCCACTCGGCAATGGCGAGTTGCCCCATGTCCACCATTCCTAGGGACCCACAACTGGCACAGGCACAAGCAAGCATGATGGAGATTTGGTCAACACCCCATTTTTCAGATGAGGAGACTGAGGTTCAGAGGGGTGGAGGGCCTTGGCTGGTGTCCCTGTCCCCCAACTGGTAAAATACACGTAACACAAAACCCACCTTTTTAACCATTTTAAAAGGGTACAAGGAAAACTAAGTAGCATTTAGAACATTCACCGGGCTGTGTGATCATCACCCTTATCTTGTTCCAGAACGTTTTGTCCCCCTCCAAAAGACATCCCCGACCCAGTAGGAGTCGCCGTCCCTTCCTCTCTCCTCTCCAGCCCTGGCAACCACGGCCCTGCTTGCCTGGTGTGTTGTAGAAGTGTGCCCGGTGCGCCCTTTTCTCAGCCGCTCTTCGCAGCGCTCCTGTTGGTGGCTGTGGCCATTCTCATGTCCCACAGGAGACCTGGAGGCTTCCAGTGGCCTCGCACTCAGGCCCACAATCCATGAAAACCGGGGGTCTGACTCCAGTGGGGCAGGGGGTGGAGAGGCGGTGCGGGGCTCGGGCCCAGAGCAGACGGAGACATAGTAGGGCTCCACAGAGAGCAAGCAGCAGAAGCCAGGCACCCTTTTCCTCCCCTGACGGGCACACTCCGGGGCTCTGGGGGTCGTGCCAGGGTTTCTCAGGTGTGGCCACTGGCGTGTTTATTCCCATGGTGACACACAGATTTCAGAGGGTGTAGAAGGCAGCCGCTCACTGGAACAAACGCGTGCTGTCCCCACCCGATGGCCAAGGCCAAGATTGAGTTTTAGAAAGGGGTTGGTCTGGTACAACTGGGACAAAGCAGCCTCTGGGACAACTTCGAGAGGTTCAACATTCACATCATAGGGATGCTTACATAAGAAGACAAAGAGCAAGAAATTAGATGTCTATTTGAAAAAAATAGTGAAAGAAAACTTCCCTCATTTGGTGAACGAAATATATGTACAAATGCAGGAAACACAGAGAGTCCCACATGAGATGAATCCAAAGAAGCCCACTCCAAACAATCATAATTAAAACCCCAAAGGTTAAAGATAAAGGGAATCTTAAAAGCAGCAAGAGAAGAGAAGTTACATACGAGGGAGCTCCCATAAGACTGTCAGCTGGTTTCTGAAAAGAAACTTTTCAGGCAAGAAGGGATTGGCGAGAAGTATTCAAAGTGATGGAAAGCAGGAACCTACAACCAAGACTGTTCTACCCAGCAGAGCTACCATTTAGAATTGAAGGGCAGATAAAGAGCTTCCCAGGCAAGAAAAAAACTAAAGGAGTTCATCATCACCAAACTATTATTATATGAAATGTTAAAGGTATTTATTTAAGAAAAAGAAGATCAAAACTGTGAACAATAAAATGGCAAAAAAATCTATCAACAAGATAGATTTTTGAATCTAAAAAACAGACTAAGCAAACAAGCGGAACAGAGACTAAATCTTGGACGCGGAGAGCGTTTTGATGGTTGCCAGGTGGGAGGGGCTTGTGGGGGACGGAGGAAGAGAGAGGGGATTGAGAAGCACAAATAGGTAGCTGCGGAGTAGCCACAGGGATGTAAAATGCAGTGTAGGAAATGGAGCAGCCAGAAAACTTACACACATGACCATGGACATGAACCGTGGTGGGGGGACTGCCTGAGGGAGTGAGGCATGCTGGGTGGAAGGGGACCAAGGGGGAAAATCAGGACAACTGTAATAGCATCATCAATCAAATATAATTGAAAATAAGCAAATAAGCACTACACATTGAAAAAAAAAGGGCTCAATCTGAACTTGATTTTGAAGTGTTAAGAAACACTTTCAGGAAGTAGCATGTAGTACGTAGATGTAGGCGTGACTTGGGCATGAGAATGACCTGTGGCGGGTGCTTGAAGGCAGGGGGCTGGCCGGAGGTTAACTCGTCGCTGCACCTCCAAGCTGCCTGTGCTGGGGTCGTTCTAACACAGCACCCACACTGGACGGCTTAAAACGATAGAGCCGTGTTCTCTCCCCGTCTGGAGACCAGACGCCCGAAGTTGCAGCCACGGTCCCTCCCCAGGCCCCTTGGGAGGACCCTTTGTGCCTCTGGTGGCTTCTGGCGGCCCCAAGCGCCCCTTGGCTGTGGCCCCATCACCCCGATCTCTGCCTTCTTCCGCACACAGCCCTCTTTCCTCTCTGTGTGTCCACTCTCTGCTTCCAAGTTGCCCGCTCCTTTCTCTTGTAAAGACAACAGACACCCAAAACCAACATGTTCCCCTTTTAGTTTGATCACATCGCTAGAGACCCCGTTTCCAAATGCAGTCACGCACACAGGGGCCAGACATTGGGATTTGAACGCATCTGTTTGGAGATACAGTTCAAGCCAGGGCCACCCAAAGTCCAGGTCCCGCCCTGGCAATCTTTGTCCGTTCACTCTTTCAGCCACCCACACCCAATGGCTGTCGTGTGCTCTTATAGGGCGTCATCTCAGGAAGCCCACGATGGCATTTTGTCCCAACACGGGGGATGCTCATTTTGACCACTTGCTTAAGGAGGAATCTGCTAGGTTTCTTCACTGTCTGCTTGCCACTTTTCTCATTATAAATTATCATTATCTTTATGGGGATATGCCTAGAACTAATACAGATGTCCTGTGCTTCACTGTACTCCCCCTCCAATGTTAGCATCGACCGGTGACCATTGACGATCCTTGCCCACAGAAACTGTTACTGTGGTGTCTGCCAAGAGGCCGTTCTCTCGTCCCATCGTCCTTTCTGAACTTACCAGTTGGAACTGTGTGGTGAGGAGGCACTGCCCCATGGCTCATTCCTCT